GGGATTTCTCCTCATATGCTGCCACGATCAGCAGCTGCTTCCCTGGAGGTTCCCTCATGGCATTGCCAGGATGTAGGCAAAAAAAAAAAAAAAATTGCACACTGCTGGAAATTGAGGGTGGGAGAACAGAAATAAACATCAACAGCTCAAACAACGTCAATGACATGAGCAGCACATTACTGAACAAATAAACCTCTGTAGTACACAGAAGCTGAACATGGGGAAGAAGAAAGGAGGACAGAAAGGAGACTATCCCCTCCATTCACAGCCCAAATGCCATTCTGTGGCAAGGCACTCAAGGGAAAGTGGCCACCTAACCTGCCCTTTTACATCTGTACTCAATAGTTAGAGATCATCCACAACTGGAATGTTTTTTGTAGATACCATATCCTTTATTTCCAGAGCTCACAATTCCAACTGTGAATGTCTGAAAAGCAGGCAATGTGAGTGACTAATAGGGGTAGGATTTACCCTCTGGTAAGGAACCTTTCCAGCTGCTGGGTTCTCTAGTTGTAATTGAAAACCATTGATTCAAGTGTTCAAAATGAAAACGTTTGCTTACAGCGCAGTCTCTTTGCAGATCAGAATGAAATTCACAACAGCTGCGATTATGATCACTCTTCTCACCCTCAAAAAACAATTAAGGTTGCTGCAAGGGAACACATTCATCATGACAGAGCAGAACTGATGAAGAGTGGAAGGCAATGGGCATGAAGAGCCTGTTCAGATCCCATCAACCATGCAGCACGCACTGGCTGACAAGAATTGTATCTGTCTTGTAAGAGCAGGTTGTACAAAGAGATAAAAACACTTATCCCCTCTGAGCTGCACATTTGCACACGGCTGGAAATGCACTTGCCTTTCCTCCAGGAGTATTCTCAGCGTTTTGTAACTTTGCTGGGCAAAGCTTACTTGCAAATATCTGCCTTTTAAGCGTTGTAGATGAAAGTAATTAGGCAGTGACATCAAAAGTTGTTTAGTTGAATTAACTGCTTTCTATTTAGAAGCTTCCTTGCATGCTGCATTCCTATGGTAACCAGGCACACTCCATCCCGTCACACAACACCCACCTGGGACAGAAGGAGAAAGGGAAATTATATATTGCATAATTGAACATACTTTCACACCTTTTCAATGTGACCTGGTCCAAATGCATTTGCAGTTTTGGTTGTGATTTTTCTGTCTGGGAGGAATCTGTGCACAGAAAAATCACTGGTCATCATGCTCACTTGTAACAAGAAATATTTCTTCAAAAATCTGCAATTAATTCAATTATTATCTTATTTTGCACTAAACAACAAATTAAGAAAGTTGTGTGACATATCAAAATTGAGCAAATGATTCTTTACAAAATCCAATTATTTATAAGGTCCAAAATTTTGCCTGTTTATCAGCAAAATCCAGTACTTTATCTCTGAAAATCTGTTATCAGCCTGTTCCTTTCCTACAGCACCTACAAAAACACGCACTGAAAATGAACTGTGGGTAACTGACTTCAAGCAGCCAAAACCTTACCCAAAAAGCCAGTTAATTTCATTATATCCCAGTGTAAGAAACCACTCTGCTTATGAATTCTGCCAGTAATAGTAAGGATCTCTTTTTTTTTTTTTTTAATTGTATTTAATTGTATTTGGCATGAATGGAAAATTTGGCATATTTTGTAATTTCAACAAAACAAGCACAGAGGCAAAATAAGATCTGGATTTTACACTGTTTGATTTTTCATTAAAATATACTTATCGATCATATGTGCATAGGGATCTGCTGTTGTTTGATTTCACTGTTTTTTTCCAGGTTGTTTTCCCACATCAGTTTTTTTTTTTTTCTCCATGTAAAAAACCTGACCTGACTGCAAGATATGGTGATATATCCAGG